GAATGTACAAATGCGCTTTACACAATTGATGTATGTATGGATTGTGATAAGAGTTGTATGAGCCCCTAATAAAATGATTTTTTTTTAAACTGGAAGACAAGTGAATTAAAAGGGAAAAAAAGAGGCAGTGTTCGCATGGACATGTAGCGAGCTCCAAAAAGTTCATGGAAAATGAAACTTTTTATAAATGGAATGTTTTCATGAGCTTTGCATTCCTTCTCAGTATTTCCAGTGTGGGTTAAGAAACCATTTTTGGTACTTGCACACTCGTACCTGACACAAGAGGGAATCTGTTTCTCATCTTCATGCAAACATTTAGTAATGTCAGTTTATTCCGTTCAACTGAGTGGTGCGTGTGGGTTGGTTTTGTCTTGTCCGGCTTTGCAGAGTGTATGGTCAGCTTTGTTAGGTTGGTCTTGGACTACCAAGAAGTTAGACCATGTAGAAAAGACATGGTGTGTGTGGTGAGTCCAAACGCACAGGTGTCAAATCCTGGACTCATCAGCAGTTTCTTCTCTCTGGTCTTAATCCGTTGCATGTTTGGTTGATCCAGGGGGTTGTGTGGTTTGGTTTGGTCTTTCATTTCAAAGATTTCACTTTTTCCTCTCTTCATTACATTTTAAATTTCTTTTGTCTTCTCACTAGACCTGGAGCTTGAAAAATTATTTTGGGGCAAGGTTAATATTTTAGTTTTTTGCTGTTGTTTGTGAATTAATTGAGGGAGAACCCATTGTAAAAGACACAGGAAACTAGCAGTCAACAAAGATGGTATGACGTCTTTATACTTTCCTGCAAAAGGAAATTGTTATGATGACTGTGGTTAAAAAAAGAGGTAATTAAGTAATTAACATCATATTCAAGAGAAAAATAAAGTGGGTTATAACTGGAAATATCTCTTAAATTTTTTGAAATAGTTAATATGTAAAAATATCTTGCGTATTAAAATTCTTGTTAACCCTTCAGATAATACTCAAAATCACTGATTTGTGACACCACCACCACCACCACCCGGGGGAAAAAAAAGTCACTACCATCCAATCAATTCTCAGTGGTATGAACCCTATAGGACAAAGTGGAACAGCAGTTCTCAACCTGTGGGTCACGACCCCTTTGGGGGTCAAACGACCCTTTTACAAGGGTTGCCTAAGACATCCTGCATATCAGATAGTTACATTACAATTCACAACAGTAGTAAAATTACAGTGATGAAGTAACAGCGAAAATAATTTTATGGTTGGAGGTCACCACAGCATGAGGAACTGTCTTAAAGGGTCACGGCATGAGGAAGGTTGAGAACCACTGAAGTAGAAGAACTGCTCCTTTGGGTTTCCAAGGCTACGGATCTTTACGTGAGCAGACAGCCTCCTCTTTCTCCGGAGGAGGAGCTGATTGTTTGGATTACTGACCTTTCAGTTAGCAGCCCATTGCACGATTCACTGGGCTCCTTGTAATTCTGAAAGACATCTCTAGTGTCAGGATACTACTCTAAATCAGTATCCGAATTTGTAATTTTAGAGATGAAAGGCAAATTGAGAAGTCCATCGGATCTAATGTCTCATTTTTACAGATCTGTAAGCTTTCATAGGAGAAATGACCAGAGAGTTTAAGACAAAGCATGAATTTCAAGATGATCTTCTGCTTCAGATTCAGGGTCTTTTCTATTATTACTATTACTGTTGTTATTATTATTATTATTACTTCTGGTTACATGATAACTGATGGATTTGGAGAAGTAGAGGGCTCCATTTTGAGAAAAAATTGTTTACTTTTTTATTTTAAAAAGAAAACATTTCTCAAGGCTGTGGGTTGTCATTTGCCAAATATCCTTTACCAACATTTGAGCTAAGGTCTTTCAGGGGGCATCTGGGGGTGCTCTGTCATGGATTGTCGGTCTCTTCTAGTTTTAAGACTGAGCATTCTTCACGAGCAGAAAGGAAGACACGAGACGCATTCGGGATGTTTGACGGTTATGACAGCTGCAGTGAGGATACGAGTAGCAGCTCCAGCTCTGAGGAGAGTGAAGAAGAAGTTGCTCCTTTACCTTCCAATCTCCCAATTATCAAAAACAATGGGCAGGTGTACACATACCCAGATGGTAAATCTGGCATGGGTGAGTATGTGCAGTTTCCCTTCGTTTAAGCAGTCTTGTTTCAGGGCAGTTTGCAGAACTAGTGCCAGGTGAGATCACTGGATCTCTTCTTGGCCTACTGACCCTCCACAGGTAGAAAATGATAAAGACAGGGAGTCATTGAGGAACCTGATCTAGTCATAAATTCAGTAATAAATATTAAATCCCTGGGTAGTAGGAAGTGCCTAGAACCATACTTGGAGAGTTGAATGCGATTTTTAAGGTAGGGTTCCCTCCTCTAGAACCAGAACCGTCGCTTAGAAGTTTTCTGTTTTAGCACTTCGAGTGATAACTGCATTCTCTGGCTCAGAAGGCATTACCTTTTTGTAGCATCTCTAGTTATTAGAATATTCTTTTTAGGGAACCAAAGTTATCTTTGCTCAATGTTTTATCCTTTGGTCTTCTGCTGCTTAAAGCCACACACTCTTAAGTTCTTTGTCATCATAGCAGCTCTCTTCCCCGCACTGGAACACAGTGATACTCCAGACATTTCTCATAGTAGCTCAGTGATGTAATTCATCAGTATCTGGGCATACTTCAAATTATTAACCTTCCTTTTCAACATGGTTCCCAGAACTGAAAGCACATTTTTATGCACTTTACACACATGTTGCTTGGGGGTTGGGGGGAGTTGTTTTGTTTTACTGTGTTTTTCTCAACCATGTGCAACATACCCCCACCTCCAGCTTGCTACACAGGGTGTTGTATGTGTGAGTGCATTACTTGAGGGTTTTGTTTTTTTTCCATTTTTACCATCTGTGGAATTAATTTTTTTAATCGTTTTATTGGGGTCTCGGACAACTCTCATCACAATCCATACACACATCTGTTGTGTAAAGCACATTTGTGCATCCGTTGCCCTCACTTGAGGCTCTTGAGGGCTTTTTAGTGATAGAGGATGGCTCATCCTGCTGTTCTTGGCATATGCAAGGTGTAGGTGTTGGAA